ATGTGTAGTAAATTTCGAGGTCTCGTGGGCTTACCCTATCGTTCAGACAAAGAGTTTAATAAACAAATTGACGAAGAAATGGACAAAATGGTAAAATCACTGTCTGAACCGCTCGGTGTGCAACGAGTGCGCCGCCGCAAGGGTATACCACTGCCGCCGCCTCCGCCGCCTCCTCTGCCTCCTGTTCCACTACTTCCCGAAGAAGGTCTAGCTAGACTAAAGGCAGCGCGATCACTACAGGCTATCCCTAGAGACAGGAGCCATGTGGAAGGGGACAAACAGCTCGCCAGGTCTATATTATTGGAGCGCAAACTCAGGGGAGAAAATGCCTACATCGCGCCTGATGGACCAGTGGGTTCGGATCCTTACTTCAGAACAAGCAAAATCACCAGCCTGAACTTCTTCAACTTTAACGACTTCATCAAAAAACATGAGAAAACTGTCGTCATATTTTACAATTCACTGAAAAATGAGACCTTTTTCCCATCAAGAGAGTTTGCCAATGTAAGTTACACATGGTCGTCCTTATGTGAGCCGTATTGTTTTTATTATTGTATCGTTATGTGACATCATTGTTAGATGTTATAACTGCAGACACTACCACCACCTTGTTCTTGTCGCTGCTGCCATCCTGTGTTGTACTGGCAACTGTAATAGTTGTAAGTGCAGTCATTTTCTTATGTTTCACATTACCAAAATTTTGCAAATCATACTACAGGTACAAATCAGCTTTACAATATCTTCAGCATTGTTATCACCCGTGTGCCGTTAGACGACGTCACAGAGGACTCGCACACGTTTCCTCCTCTCCGCTCTATTGCATGTAGCTCTCTCCATTTCTCATATGGAGTTCAGCCCAGCATTTTCAGCTCCTTTTAGTAAAAGGTTTTTTTTTTTTTTTTAAGTTTTCCTTGAGCGTCCTTTTTGTCTCAGACTGTGTGTTTCCCACTTTAGTGCTTGTTTTGTGAGTCTCTACTTAATTAGTTTCAGGTGTCCAAGTTTATCTCCACCTTCTTTGTTGTAGTGCTGTACATGCAGATATTTCTTTGATCTCCACACCTTTTCTTTTTTTTTTAAATTCATCCCATTTTATTTGCGAAATATCTAAATATTGTTTCATATCTTTGGTAGTTTTCTAACTTTCGCTGGCAAATGTGGGAACAGAAATAACACTAAAAATGAAGATTCGTTTTTTGGTCATAAAGCTGTATACCTTGGAGGTCCATATTTTGGTAGGGTTTTAAAATTCTGTTTTCGTTTTTCCTATGCGTACCGCACGACAGATACGAACCACACATTAACGGTGTAACGAGAAGATTTTCATTCAGCATACCACACACAGACAATGCCACAGTTGCATTAACAAACAAAAAAATAATATTGCTACAATAAGTATTTAAGGAGACAGATTACATTTTTTCCCTGGTGTCATAAGAGGAAGAAAACTTAAGTACATCGTGAGGGAGAGAGAAGAGACTAGAAAGTTTGGCATGATGGCGTCGAAGGCCATTTGTGCCAGAGCTGATTAAAAGTACACGAGACATAATGTTGTGGCTAGACATGGCAACCAAAAGTACACGAGAGAGAATGTTGTGGCTAGACATAACAACCAAAAGTACACGAGACAGAAAGTTGTGGCTAGACATAACAACCAAAAGTACACGAGACATAATGTTGGGGCTAGACATAACAACCAAAAGTACACGAGACAGAAAGTTGGGGCTAGACATAACAACCAAAAGTACACGAGACAGAAAGTTGGGGATAAACATAACAACCAAAAGTACACGAGACAGAAAGTTGGGGATAGACATAACAACCAAAAGTACACAAGACAGAATGTTGTAGCTAGACATAACAACCAAAAGTACACGAGACAGAATGTTGTAGCTAGACATAACAACCAAAAGTACACGAGACAGAATGTTGTAGCTAGACATAACAACCAAAAGTACACGAGACAGAATGTTGTAGCTAGACATAAAAACAAAAGTACACGAGAAAATGTACAGACATGGAGACACGAACGAGACAGAATGTTGTAGCTAGACATAAAAACCAAAAGTACACGAGACATAATGTTGTGGCTAGACATGGCAACCAAAAGTACACGAGACAGAATGTTGTAATGTAGATAGACAATACCACAACCAAAAGTACACGACATAACAACCAAAAGTACACGAGACAGAATGTTGTAGCTAGACATAACAACCAAAAGTACACGAGACAGAATGTTGTAGCTAGACATAACAACCAAAAGTACACGAGACATAATGTTGTGGATAGACATGACAACCATTAGTACACGAGACATAATGTTGTGGATAGACATGACAACCAGTAGTACACGAGACATAATGTTGTGGATAGACATGACAACCATTAGTACACGAGACATCATGTTGTGGATAGACATAACAACCAAATGTACACAAGACATAATGTTGTAGCTAGACATAACAACCAAAAGTACACGAGACATAATGTTGTGGATAGACATAACAACCAAATGTACACGAGACATAATGTTGTAGCTAGACATAACAACCAAAAGTACACGAGACATCATGTTGTGGATAGACAAATGTAACACGACCAAAATGTACACAAGACATAAATGTACACGAGACAGAATGTTGTAGCTAGACATAACACGAACAGTAATGTTGTAGCTAGAAAGTACAAGTACACGAGACATAATGTTGTAGCTAGACATAACAACCAAAAGTACACGAGACAGAATGTTGTAGCTAGACATGACAACCAAAAGTACACGAGACAGAATGTTGTAGCTAGACATAACAACCAAAAGTACACGAGACATAATGTTGTAGCTAGACATAACAACCAAAAGTACACGAGACAGAATGTTGTAGCTAGACATGACAAGCAAAAGTACACGAGACAGAATGTTGTAGCTAGACATAACAACCAAATGTACACGAGACAGAATGTTGTAGCTAGACATGACAAGCAAATGTACACGAGACAGAATGTTGTAGCTAGACATGACAAGCAAATGTACACGAGACAGTATGTTGTAGTTAGACATGACAAGCAAATGTACACGAGACATAATGTTGTGGCTAGACATAACAACCAAAAGTACACGAGACATAATGTTGTGGATAGACATGACAACCAAAAGTACACGAGACATAATGTTGTAGCTAGACATGACAACCATTAGTACACGAGACAGAATGTTGTGGATAGACATAACAACCAAAAGTACACGAGGCATGATGTTGGGGCTAGACATAACAACCAAAAGTACACGAGACAGAATGTTGTAGCTAGACATGACAACCAAAAGTACACGAGACATAATGTTGGGGATAGACATGACAACCAAATGTACACTAGACATAATGTTGGGGATAGACATGACAACCAAATGTACACGAAACATAATGTTGGGGATAGACATGACAACCAAATGTACACGAGACATAATGTTGTGGATAGACATGACAACCAAATGTACACGAGACATAATGTTGGGGATAGACATAACAACCAAAAGTACACGAGACATAATGTTGTGGATAGACATGACAATTAAAAGTACACGAGACATAATGTTGTAGCTAGACATGACAACCAAAAGTACACGAGACATAATGTTGTAGCTAGACATGACAACCAAATGTACACGAGACATAATGTTGGGGATAGACAGGACAACTAAAAGTACACGAGACATAATGTTATGGCTAGACATGGCAACCAAAAGTGCACGAGACAGAATGTTGTTGCTAGACATAACAACCAAAAGTACACGAGGCATGATGATGGAGCTAGACATAACAACCAAAAGTACACGAGACAGAATGTTGTAGCTAGACATGACAACCAAAAGTACACGGGACATAATGTTGTGGATAGACAGGATAACTAAATGTACACGAGACATAATATTGTGCCTAGTCATAACAACCAAAAGTACACGAGACAGAATGTTGTAGCTAGACATGACAATCAAATGTACACGAGACAGAATGTTGTGGCTAGACATGGCAACCAAAAGTGCACGAGACAGAATGTTGTAGCTAGACATAACAACCAAAAGTACACGAGGCATGATGATGGAGCTAGACATAACAACCAAAAGTACACGAGACAGAATGTTGTAGCTAGACATGACAAGCAAATGTACACGAGACATAATGTTGTGGATAGACATAACAACCAAATGTACACAAGACATAATGTTGTAGCTAGACATAACAACCAAAAGTACACGAGACAGAATGTTGTAGCTAGACATGACAAGCAAATGTACACGAGACAGAATGTTGTAGCTAGACATGACAAGCAAATGTACACGAGACAGAATGTTGTAGCTAGACATGACAAGCAAATGTACACGAGACATAATGTTGTGGCTAGACATAACAACCAAAAGTACACGAGACATAATGTTGTGGATAGACATGACAACCAAAAGTACACGAGACATAATGTTGTAGCTAGACATGACAACCATTAGTACACGAGACAGAATGTTGTGGATAGACAAGCAAATGTACACGAGACAGAATGTTGTAGCTAGACATGACAAGCAAATGTACACGAGACAGAATGTTGTAGGACATGACAAGCAAATGTACACGAGACATAATGTTGTGGCTAGACATAACAAAAAGTACACGAGACATAATGTTGTGGATAGACTACACGAGACATGTTGTACAACCATGACAACCATTAGTACACGAGACAGAATGTTGGGATAGACATAACAACCAAAAGTAGGCATGATGTTGGGGCTAGACATAACAACCAAAAGTACACGAGACAGAATGTTGTAGCTAGACATGACAACCAAAAGTACACGAGACATAATGTTGGGGATAGACATGACAACCAAATGTACACGAGACATAATGTTGGGGATAGACATGACAACCAAATGTACACGAGACACAATGTTGGGGATAGACATGACAACCAAATGTACACGAGACATAATGTTGTGGATAGACATGACAACCAAATGTACACGAGACATAATGTTGGGGATAGACATAACAACCAAAAGTACACGAGACATAATGTTGTGGATAGACATGACAATTAAAAGTACACGAGACATAATGTTGTAGCTAGACATGACAACCAAAAGTACACGAGACATAATGTTGTAGCTAGACATGACAACCAAATGTACACGAGACATAATGTTGGGGATAGACAGGACAACTAAAAGTACACGAGATAGAATGTTGTTGATAGACATGAGAGCTAAAAGTACACGGTATTGACTAAAGTAGGATGCTAAAAATGTGAAGCTTCTTACACAATCTCCATCCACGATTGAAAGGTAGAGGCTCAGCCAACAGCGTGGTGGCGACGACGATTCAAAAGCATAATCTATGTCATTTTGATCCCCTGGTGGTCTTCAAGAATACTCCTCGGATTCTGACTTCCATCAGTACATACATGGAGAGACAAGACTATTCTGTTTGAGACCGAAGTTATTGTGCATTGTTTACTTAAAGATTATCTTCATCACCCATCAGACATAACCATAAGCGCTCCGATCTCCTCCTGAGTTTGTCTCCAAGTGTTTTTAGGCTAACAACTGCGAGTCTGTTCTGGTTGGTGTAGCCACGGGTAGCTATCACATTGTTTTCCTGTCTCGCACCTGTAGTCGGTACACCGAGAATATGCAGTGTATTCAGTGAGAAATCATTTTCCATGAAAGTGAAAGCCTCACAGCGTTTAGTCTCTCGTAAAGCGCTGATGATGTCTCTCCTGTCCATTGATGACCCATTTCTGTTAAAAACGAAAGTTAATGGTGTGACATATCGAGCTGAGATTTTGGATGCACTAGTTGCTCATGTGTTCACAAATTATCCAGACTTACGTCTTCTCCGATAGCAGAAGATTGTGATAAGTAATTAGTCTGCCCTGCCACCAGACATGTACCCTATAGAACATCTATAGTCTGCCCTGCCACCAGATATATACCCTATAGAACATCTATAGTCTGCCCTGCCACCAGACATGTACCCTATAGAACATTTATAGTCTGCCCTGCCTCCAGACATGTGCCCTATAGAACATCTATAGTTTTCCCTGCCACCAGACATGTGCCCTATAGAACATCTAAAGTCTGCCCTGCCACCAGACATGTGCCCTATAGAACATCTAAAGTCTGCCCTGCCACCAGACATGTGCCCTATAGAACATCTAAAGTCTGCCCTGCCACCAGACATCTGCCCTATAGAACATCTAAAGTCTGCCCTGCCACCAGACATGTGCCCTATAGAACATCTAAAGTCTGCCCTGCCACCAGACATGTGCCCTATAGATCATCTAAAGTCTGCCCTGCCACCAGACATGTGCCCTATAGAACATCTAAAGTCTGTCCTGCCACCAGACATGTGCCCTATAGAATATGTATGGCATGATTAAGAGGCACATTTTACAGACAAAAGGCTTTCGGTTACCCTGCTGGAAGCTGCTGTTACACTTGAAGGAATCTTGATTCATCAGAATTTTCTGCAGACACTTGTGCCTTCCATGCGGGGCCACTTGCAAGCACACCGTGACAATCCAGATACTTAAAAAGTGTCAATACTTTTAACTATATATATATATATATATATATATATATATATATATATATATATATATATATATATATATTCATATGTGTGTGTGCGTTTGTGTGTGCGTGCGCGCGTGTGTATTTGGCAAACGACGAAAATTTAATGCATTGATTACGATTTAAAAGTCTCTTTCTCAAACACACAAAAAATACCACAGGGTTCAGTAGAGAGAAAGAGGAGAATAGGCTTCCAAGAAAGACCTTCAGACAGACCTGGATTGACCGGATACGTCTTAGGCATGCAGCCATGAAGTCCATTGCAACTGACCATCAAATATATGTATAATACTTATGGACAACGCTGATACCTAACAAACTAATTGTTGTGTGTGTGTGTGTGTCACTCTCTTCTCTCTCCCTGACCAGGCTGCAATGAGATCAACAAACGACAAGCACGCCTATGCTGCCGTCAACTGTTCGGTCGACTCCGAACTCTGCTGTAAACATCAGATCAGCAAAATGCCCACGCTGAAACTTTTCTCCAACGGTTTCTACGTCAGCACTGTTGCTATCCCTGACGCCTTCACGGCCGACCAGATCAACCTACTAGTCAACATGACGCCCGTGCTGACGCAACCTAGACCTGAACTGCCACCCAGGAAAAAGTTGTTCTAGTAAGGCAGCCTGTCAATGCCGTAACTGCCGTACCTGTTCAATCTTGCTTTTCTCAGACATTCCGACTTTCCATCGGATCTGATCAATCTGCTCGTCACCAAGACCCCAGTGCAGACCCATAAGAGATATGAACTTAATATCCAATAAAACATAGTTCTAGCAAGGCAGTTTTCCCAGGCTGTAACTGCCGTACCTGTTCAGGCCTGTTTCCCCCAAACACGATTGCTTTACCTTTGTGCACATGTTGTTTTAGAAACAAGCAGTATAAATAAAGAATATAGCTTGATCAGATTTAAAGATGCACGTGTCGACCTATTACATTGTGAAAGATATGTTCTAAAAAAACAGGACACATACATTTACACAATATTAACACACACGCACGCGCGAAAACACGCATACATACATATATACATACATACATACATACATACATACATACATACATACATACATACATACATACATACATACATACATACATACATACATACATACATACATACATACATACATACATACATACATACATACATACATACATACATACATACATACATACATACATACATACATACATACATACATACATACATACATACATACATACATACATACATACATACATACATACATACATACATACATACATACATACATACATACATACATACATACATACATACATACATACATACATACATACATACATACATACATACATACATACATACATACATACATACATACATACATACATACATACATACATACATACATACATACATACATACATACATACATACATACATACATACACATACATACATACATACATACATACATACATACATACATACATAACATACATACATACATACATACATACATACATACATACATACATACATACATACATACATACATACATACATACATACATACATACATACATACATACATACATACATACATACATACATACATACATACATACATACATACATACATACATACATACATACATACATACATACATACATACATACATACATACATACATACATACATACATACATACATACATACATACATACATACATACATACATACATACATACATACATACATACATACATACATACATACATACATACATACATACATACATACATACATACATACATACATACATACATACATACATACATACATACATACATACATACATACATACATACATACATACATACATACATACATACATACATACATACATACATACATACATACATACATACATACATACATACATACATACATACATACATACATACATACATACATACATACATACATACATACATACATACATACATACATACATACATACATACATACATACATACATACATACATACATACATACATACATACATACATACATACATACATACATACATACATACATACATACATACATACATACATACATACATACATACATACATACATACATACATACATACATACATACATACATACATACATACATACATACATACATACATACATACATACATACATACATACATACATACATACATACATACATACATACATACATACATACATACATACATACATACATACATACATACATACATACATACACATACATACATACATACATACATACATACATACATACATACATACATACATACATACATACATACATACATACATACATACATACATACATACATACATACATACATACATACATACATACATACATACATACATACATACATACATACATACATACATACATACATACATACATACATACATACATACATACATACATACAAACTCAAGTGAACATTACAGACTAGACGTTAAAGATTTGCAGGTGCTTTCAACAGCATCACAGGTGTTAATGTTCTGTGTGAAAGCAACCATGGTCCAAACAGAAGGTTCTGTTGAGTTGATCTGATACAAGAACAGACATCACATCACTCGCAGCATTGCCAAATGTGCCCTGTGATCATCTTTATGCGGTCGGAGCTGAGTTCAAATAGTAATGGTGCCAGGAACAGTCTGAGTATATGTCCGCCTTGCTTTTCCTCTGACTGCAGTGTATCGGCTAGGGCCCTTTGATCAAAATGCTTTCTAAATTGTACACGACTCATATTGAGGTTTGAACAACAGATCACGGCACACGGTTAGTAACCCACAAGTGCTCCCTTACTCTTCTAAATTCTGAGTCCGAAGATGCTCAGCACAGTGCACCAGCTCTGTAGCTCCGTTAAGGATCCTGAAATACTTTGGGCAGATTTGTAACTCCATATTTAGCCCGGGCAGCGCCGTTAATTTACTTTTTTCGATTTCCAACTGCCAAGGGATTTGTTACCTGCGTAACAATACACACGGGCGTCCGATCTCACTACATAAGGACCCAGGAACACTAGTAGAGTCCAAGTGCACGTAAAAAAATATCCTTTCCCTTACCTGGGATTGAACCCATTACCTCTATAACTCGAGGCGGACACCATGCCTCGAGACCACACAGTCCCCACTTTTCTGCATTCTTCACCGCGTCTGCCCACATGATGATGATGAAGATGGTCATGATGATGATGATGATGGTCATGATGATGCTGATGATAATGATGGTCATGATGATGGTGATGATGAAGATGGTCATGATGATGATGATGATGGTCATAATGATGATGATGATCATGATGATGGTGATGATGGTCATGATGATGATGATGATGATGATGATGGTCATGATGATGATAATGGTCATGATGATGATGATGGTCATGATGATGATAATGATGGTCATGATGATGATGATGATGGTCATGATGATGATGATGATGGTCATGATGATGATGGTCATGATGATGATGATGATGATGGTCATGATGATGGTCATGATGACGGTCATGATGATGGTCATGATGATGATGATGATGATGATCATGATGATTGTCATGATGACGGTCATGATGACAGTCATGAAGATGGTCATGATGATGATGATGGTCTTGATGATGGTCATGATGATGGTTATGATGATGATGATGATGGTCATGATGATGGTCATGATGATGATGATGATGGTGATGGTGATGGTCATGATGATGGTCATGATGATAATGGTGATGGTGATGGTCATGATGATGATGATGATGATGATCATGATGATGATGATGATGGTCATGATGATGATGATGGTAATGATGATGATGATGATGATGATGATAGTCATGATGATGATGGTCATGATGATGATGATGGTCATGATGATGATGATAATGATGATGATGTTGGTCATGATGATGATGGTCATGATGATGGTGATGATGATGATGATGATGATGATGATGATGATGATGATGGTGGTCATCATGATGGTCATGATGATGATGGTCATGATGACGATGGTCATGATGATGATGATGATGATGGTCATGATGATGGTCATGATGACGGTCATGATGATGGTCATGATGATGATGATGATGATGATGATGGTGGTCATGATGATTGTCATGAAGACAGTCATGATGACGGTCATGATGATGGTCATGATGATGATGATGGTCATGATGATGGTCACGATGTTGGTCATGATGATGATGATGATGGTCATGATGATGGTCATGATGATGATGATGATAATGGTGATGGTGATGGTCATGATGATGGTCATGATGATGATGGTGATGGTGATGGTCATGAGGATGATGATGATGGTCATGGTGATGGTAATGATGATGATGATAATCATCATGATGATGGTCATGATGATGATGATGATGGTCATGGTGATGGTCATGATGATTATGATGGTCATGATGATGGTCATGATGATGATGATGATGATGATGATGGTCATGATGATGATGGTCATGATGATGGTCATGATGATGATGGTCATGATGATGGTCATGATGATGGTCATGATGATGATTGTCATGATGATGATGATGATGATGATGACGATGATGATGATGATGATGATGGTCATGGTGATGGTCATGATGATGATGATGGTCATGATGATAGTCATGATGAAGGTCATGATGATGGTCATGATGATGGTCATGGTGATGGTCATGATGATGGTCATGATGATGATTGTCATGATGATGATGATGATGATGATGTCGATGATGATGATGATGATGATGGTCATGGTGATGGTCATGATGATGATGATGGTCATGATGATAGTCATGATGAAGGTCATGATGATGGTCATGATGATGGTCATGGTGATGGTCATGATGATGGTCATGATGATGGTCATGATGATGATGATGATGATGATGATGATGATGATGATGATGATGATGATGATGATGATGATGATGATGGTCATGTTGATGGTCATGATGATGATGATGGTCATGATGATGGTCATGATGATGGTCATGATGATGATGATGGTGATAGTCATGATGATGGTCATGATGATGATGGTCATGATGATGGTCATGATGATGGTCATGATGATGATTGTCATGATGATGATGATGATGATGATGATGACGATGATGATGATGATGATGATGATGATGATGGTCATGGTGATGGTCATGATGATGATGATGGTCATGATGATAGTCATGATGAAGGTCATGATGATGGTCATGGTGATGGTCATGATGATGGTCATGATGATGGTCATGATGATGGTCATGATGATGGTCATGATGATGGTCATGATGATGGTTATGATGATGGTCATGATGATAATGATGATGATCATGATGATGGTCATGATGATAGTCATGATGATGGTCATGATGTTGATGATGGTCATGATGATGATGATGGTCATGATGATGATGTAGGTCATGATGATGATAATGGTCATGATGATGATGATGGTCATGATGATGATGATGGTCATGATGATGATGATGGTCATGATGATGATGATGGTCATGATGATGGTCATGATGATGGTCATG